AAAGGCAAAATGCCCAAACTGCTCATAAACGTAGATGCAGAAATTTCCTCAGGTACTAAGGGAGTCACCGAACTGTAAGCCTGAAGGTTTCCAATGAAGCATCTCTCAGCTTCACACCACTCACTTTAATTCTGGAGACAGATAGGCCTAATCATACCACATAATGGGAGATGAGAGGTGAGAATAAATCTTCTGGCCTTTGAACAACAACAACAACAAAAAGCTTGGATTTTTAAGATTTAAATATCCTGAGTCATGAGGAGATTCTTAAATAAAGCTCAGCCCTCCAGAAAATGTTCTGCCTGCCAGGGATCTGGGGGCTAATGAAAGGACCTCTTGGCCTCATCTGGTTCTTCGAATGGCTGTGAATTCCCAGCAATGATTTTGCCTTTGCATTAAGGCGTGGTGATTTCAAAAGAATAACACTGTCCCCTGCCCAGAATCTCAGCAAAGGCAGCTCTCAAGGGATTGATTGATTAATTCTCTCACTCATTCACTCATTCATTTATGGACTCAAACACTTACTCAGCAGATCTATTAAGCACATACTCTGTGCTGGAGAAATAGCTGAGGCTACAATAGTGGACAAGGAAGACATTGTCTATGCCAAGAGGAAAGGTTGAATTGGCAATTTTTGATGCTGCACATTTTCTGGGTGCAAAGAATCTGAAAGTCAAAGGCAGATTAGCATAAACAAAGTTGTCAAAGCTCTTGCCTATTCTAGTATTAAATTATTTCCCCATTGCCTCCTTGTACCCCCTCATCAGGAGCTAAGGTCTAAACATATGACAAGATGCTTCCACAGAATTCTAGAACTTTCTCTGTACTAGACCTCTCCCAAATTCTGTTTATTGTATTGCTGTAGTAGATTTATCTTTCTACTTTATTATTTAGGCTGGCACCGGCTCACTTGTTAGGTGCATTTGCTACAACAAGATCAATGTGTGGAGAGAAGCTTTCCCAAGAAAACATAAACATGGTAGACTTCAGGTATATTCTAACAGGTATGTCCAGGGAATCCCTACAGAAATGATATACCTGGCAAGGCAATTTTACCCAAGAACTTGAGATCACCTTCACGTTGGAAAAGAGAGAACAATTTTCAGTTGTTAAGGACCAAAATATCTCTTTTTTGTCTATAATAGAAAAGACACGTTTTTGAAAAGTAACATTTCATGCCTGCTCTGATTGAAAAAAAAATTTTTTCACTGTTGCCACCTAGTGGACAAAGGTGATTACTTTAGATGGCACCTAGGAACATGTCTTGGTATGACCACAGGATGGCAGCACACAACCAAGTTTTCAAAGAGCCAGGCTCAGGGGAAAAATTAAGGTTTTTTCTCCTCAAAAGAGAATGTTCCAACAGAAGAGGATGGGTAGGAAATAACAGTACAGAATAAGCACTCCATTCTCTTTTCCTAAATACAAATGGAAATCCAAGTCTTAAGATCATTAGTGTTTCACAAACCAGTTCATTTATTACATTAGGGAAGACTACCTAAAATTTACCTGGTAAGCTAGTTTGTTTTTTAAAGATACTTTAAACAAATGTGTATTTTTATCTGACTTTTTATGATATTTTCTTCATAGAGTGTAACATTTGAGCAATGTTTTTAAGTTCTTCTTTTAATGAAGTCTGATTGATTAGTAGGCGAGTGTCTGTTCCCTAAGATACCCATTCAGAGCATACAGACTCTTACCCAGGCTTGTGCCAGCGACGGGTGGACCCACTGCTAGTTTTGTTCTGACCAAAATGCTGCCTATTCAGTCTGCTTCCCTGTCACTTCAGTGTGCTAGCATCCTGTTTCATTCATCCATACTGCTTTTAATTTTATTCTTTGATACCATCATGGCTTACTTTTAAGATCTATTTTTCCCTTTTTCCACTAAACTTTCATTGACAGTCCTCTCTAGAAGGGATGTTACCATAAACCTGACAATATAGTATGATGTATATTATACATATGATGAGTAGTATGATGATTTATCTAATTGGTAGAATAAATTTATAAGAAGCATTTAATTGAAATTATTTTATGGTTGATGAAGCTGAGGCAAGGAGAAGTTAAGTGATACCTTCTAGCTTAAGCAGAGCTATTATTGGTTTTCCTGCCTGCCCGGGTTCCTGAACAATTGCTTGGAATTATTCCATGAGACCAGGAATGAAGCAGGAGAAACTACGTGTTCTTTACATGGAGATGGTCCCCCCTTTTGGGTGAAGAGCATCACTCTGTGACTTTGAGAGGTCCTTGTAAATTCTAAAGCGTGATCAACCAAAGAAAGAAGGGAAAGTTGCACTTTGCACAAGAGCAGAACCAAACTTTCCCCAGTTGATATTGAACAATTTCAATGTCTCAGTAATGACCCTAGAGTTATACAGGCTGTACTCACACAGCCTTGCTTTCTTAAAAATTCCAGAGGGGTAATGGGAATCATGAACAGAGCTCTGGCTGGAGAGCTGGGGGCCCTGAATTTCAGTCTCAGCTCTGCCTCTCGCTGTCTGTGTGACCTCAGGGAAACTGATTAGCCTCTCTGGGCCTCAGTTTCCTTAGATTATAATGAGCACATTATCTACAGTGCCTTTTTAAAGAATTTTTAAGGAAATATATTGATTTCAAAGAAAAGTTGTGAGAGCAAGTATTATGAAGGAAAATAGATGCCTGTGTATTTTATACACAACTGAAATGTTTGTGATCCGACGATCAGTGTGGTCAAGAGGTGGAGACTGGCGTTTTATATCTTGGTAGAATCTGGCTTCACTTCCCAGGTGAGCTTGAAGTCAGTTGCTGGCTTCTGCTAAGAGAGGAGCAGAATTCTTGCTCAAGCTTCTGCCCGTAATGGACTAGCTCTTCACGGGCAGATGGGCAGGTGCTAATGACTTTGAGCATCTTCAGAAGTGCATCTGGAGGACCACCAGCAATCATGGTGTAAAAGAACATTCACGGTGGCTCCCCAGCCCGCCCTCCCCACATCTGACTAGTTTAGGGGAATTGTCCCTCCACCGAGACACAGCTTGCACTGCAAACAGCCTGGCTGACACTAGTTTTGCTAATGCTGAATTGTAGCCAAACATTTTCAAGACTTCAGACACTAGGACAGTTGTGCCTTTCTTATAATCGTCTTAAGAACGCTAGAAAGCATGCTGTTTGAGAGCTTCTCCTCGTGATCTCCTTTGGATGGGCAAATGGAAAATCTCTGAGGAAGGGGATTAGTAAATCGCACTGAACCTCAGAAACTTTGCAGACCTGAGACTGAAGGTCTGACCCCTTTGGCTGGATCAGAATAAAGCTTAGCTACTCAGATCCTCTGTTAGGTGAATGCTTGGCATGTCTTTATTTTTTCTCATTCCTTCAGTGACTCTGGATCCTCGCTTTAGCCCGTTATGTGCTCTGGTGCCTTCATGCATTGGCTGTGCTACAAAGGGAACAGTAACAGACACGGCCCCTGCTTCCATGGAACTCACAGGCCAGGAGTGAAGATAAGCATTAATCAAAACCTCAGATAAACGCATTTGAAATTAAAACTGAGATGAGTGTTACAAAGGAGGACAGGGTTTATATTAAAGGGACTTAACTGTACCAGGGAGACTAAGGAAGGCTTCTCTGTGGAATTTATAACAGAATGTCGAAGGATGAGTGGGATCCCTAGTAGAGAGTCACTAGGCCACAGGCCTTCCGACAGAGAAGAGTGGCAGCGTGGAGTGCCAGGTAGGCCTGCTGGCTGGAACGCAGCGATGATCAACACTGAGGAGGGTGGGGAGGTGAAAGGGCAGAGCCATGGATGCCGTGCCACATGTTGCTCTTTATCCCGGAAGCCGCAAGAAAGCATAAGCAAGTTTCAAGCAGGGCAGTGAGATGACTGGATGTCTGGATCAGAAGCCTCTCTCTGGCTTCAGAGGTCACTTTACTTCCTAAATGCAAACATGTTATTCAGGGATGCAAGGCTACATCCTGATCTTCCAAGAGAAGAAAATCCGTTTCCGACAGCCATGCTTTGGGCTCCTGTAGCAGACGAATCATTCAGTTGGCTCTGATATTCAAAGTATCCTCTGAAAATTTTCCATATTTACTTCTAAAGACCTGAGAGCACTGTGGTTTAATTAATAAGACACTTAAAAGAGAGTCTAGGTATTGACCTATGGAAGCTCTTCCAACCCTGAGATTTATTTACCCATAAACAATTATTTATTGAATACATACTGCATACCAGGCTCTAATCTAGGCACCAGGGATGCAAGAGTTGACAAAACATGAACTGTTGCGCCCTCATGGCGAATATGTTCTAATGATGGAGAGAAACTCTGAACAAGCAAATAAGTATGTGTATAACATGATGCTAAGTAGTGGTCAATGCTATTAATATTAGTAAATCAGGGTAAAAGAATAGAAAGTAACAGGGGAGATCATTTTTGATAAGGTGATGGGAGAAATCCTTCCTGAGTTGACATTTCAGCAGAAATCTGAGTGACGTAGACCGAGTAGGTGATGCAGAGATCTGGGGGAGGCACATTCCCAGCAGGTGAAACAGCGAGTGCAAAGGCTTTCAAGTTGGACTGTATTTAGTGTGTTAGAAGAAAGGGAAGAAAGGAAAAGGAAGAGAGCCAAGTGGCTTGAGTAGAGCAAACCAGGGACAGTTGGGAGGATGGGGTTGGTGGGGGCCAGACATCCTATCTTTACATTAAATTGCAGTCAGGAGTACTTTTACATGTCGTATTCAGAGTCCTTGAACTTGTCTGCACACATAACATGTCACATCAAGTATCGGTATTTGCAAATTGTTTTTTTGCCTCCTCCAACTGCACAACATTTTTTCCAACAAAACAACCTCCTTCCATGTGCCTTTCTTTCAACCTCTACTGATACATGCTCCTCTTAGAGCATCCTTGCCGCCTTCCTGCTCATGCTCCTTTCCGTGCAGAGTGCCGGGCTACCTTTGTGCTTGTTCTCAGCTGATAAAGAGTTTTTTACCTGTTTTTGTTTTGCTAAATGTTTCCTTTTTAGAAATTGGCACCACCGTGCACTTCAAGCAAAAAGGTATGATTCTTATTTCTGATTACCTTCTGTATGTTAACATTAAGGTTTCACAGCAATATATCGGGGGCTCATACCATTGAGTTTATTTCATACCAATAATTTGTGGTAATAATTTCCATAACACATTGCCACTCTTTTTCCCAAATTGTGAACTTTCTCATTCACAAAAAGCCCCTGATCCAACCCATGACCCTGTATTGCTTTTGACATTTATTCTTGAATCTCCAGAACTGAGCAAGTTATACCCTCCTCCCACTTTTCTTTTCTTTTTTTTTTGAGGTATATAAATTTTTTATTGTTAATGGGGGAGATGTGACAAGTTTAGTAGTAATTTAAATAAGGTGTATCATTTTTTTAAAAAGTTCCTAGATAATTGTGATGTTTAACCATGTCTGACTTATGGACTCAGTGATTTAAAACATGTGCACATGCTCCTCTCACCCACAAACATATACACACAACAAAGCACTATTCATATGTGCATATATAGATGCATACATTGAGATACAATAGAGTAAGAAATAATATATTAAGGATGGTTAAAAAATTGATTATGAGCTCTGTTCTACCAGGGCATTGCTGCTCTGATAGCCATACAAACATGATGCAAGGGACAGCCTATGCAAGTGCTCTGGACTGCAACCGAGGGCCATCCTGGTACCTGTCTCCTCCCACTTTTCTTATCTTAAGTGTTCTTGGTTAATTCTTGTAGAGCTGACTTTTGGAAATGTTTGCCGCCTGATGACAGGGCTCTTAGAAGGAACACAGCATCCACTTTGCCATCCTTGTTGGCTATTCAGATAGATACATTACTGAAGGAAACAGAGCAGGGTCTCCTCAAAAGAAGCACTTAAACATTTACTATTCCCTCCTGCCTCAGCGTCCCCCCAGGTCTTCCTGTCACTTCACCCTGCTACACTCCACTCGGGCTGCTGGAAATTGTCTTTTTGTGCCCTCCACTGCCCCCACGTACCTCCCTCAGCCACGTGGCACATAATTCATATTCTTGCCCCTACAAAGACGGTGCAACCAGGTCAAAGCTTCATGAAATGGACTCTAAGATTCAAGCAGTTAACCAACCTGAGGTGCCATCTTATAAGTCCAACAGAAGTTCCTAACAGTGTCTGTCCCCAGACCAGAGTCACAGAAGAATCTGCCTGGAAAACACCACTTTCCTTAAATCCTAGTGGCCACTCACTTGGATTGGTGATTGTCTCATATGAAGATGTCTTCTTCCCTGAGTCTCAAATGGGACGAGACTACCAAGGTCATTCTCAGTAGTGAAAACTGTTCTTGTGGTACGTAGACCCTACCAGCCATAGGGATTGTGGACACTCTGTTGGTTACTCCCAGGAAAGGGCCAGTACCTTGTTCACAATCAGCGCTAGCAAGTCCTCACAGAAGGCGGCTGGAAAGAGGTAACCAGAAATGTATGCGTAGGAACAAAATTATTGGGAGCAAGAAGTATAAACTACTGCCCTCTTCAACCTTTCTTCTCCCTTCAAAGCCATGATTATCAATTATATTTGCATCTTAAGTAGCTAGTGTTTGTAGAACATGATACCTCACAGCTCTGGTGTGGAAGGAAAAATAGGCTATAGGATTTTTTTTTTCAAAGACCAGTGAGAAACATTCCTAGTGTTGCCCACAGGAATTCCAACAAATGACCTAAAAATCTCAGAATTTTGCATTTCAAAATATTGGATGCTGTTTTGATGGAAAATATGTGATAATTCCAATTTTACTGTGAGAATTCTTTAGCCTTACCCAAGACTCACTTTCTAGAAGGGGGAGATAATGCATAAAGATTATGTATGAGGAACCCAAATTTAACTCTAAGACACATTACTCAAAGAAAACATCAATATATCCTCCTTTCCAGTCGGCTCCAGGCTGGAGATTATAGGCTCTTACTCCGATTCGCCCAGAGGAAGCTGTGCTGGTTGAAAATGGACAGCAGGTGGCGCCAAAGTCAGTCTTTTCCCCTTGAAACATGGCTCCCAGGACTCGGGCCTCAGTCTGCACATCTAGATAAGAGCTGAGAGACAGTTAGATTTTTTTTCTCCTTTGCTTGACAACTGTTTTGTATATTATTTATGATTTTGTTTTATTTTTAGTTACTTGGTCAACCTTTAATAACTCTAAGAAGAATTCAAACTTAAACTCATCTGGCCTTTCTTCTTTTCTTGTATGGCTGAACTATGTACAGGAATAAAAGTAAGAATGGGCTGGATTTTTTTAGTGGCTGGAAGAAATGCCCAGGCGTCACTGAGGGTGTGATTATTTTGAATAAATCTAGTCCCAAATCCCAGAAAAGAGCCCAGAACACTCAGAAGAAGCCACAGAAATGTGTCGGCCAGATTTGAATCACAAAGCGTCTCCCCGCACACGCTCTCTAAAGGAGGTGTTGAAAAATCACCGTGTCCTTTTTTGGAGATTTTACTCACGACAAATCAATTGGCTTAGCGTCCCGCATCAGATTTGAAGTAAAGACGTGCCCCCAAATTCTCAGATTTTGAAATTTCAGGATGCTTTATCAACCTTACCCTTAATCGCAAATTCCCTTTTATAAGCATTGGCAGAGCAAAGTCAGTCCAGCGTTCACATGGCTACAGAGTCTCAGCTGTCATCCCGTCCTGGGGTTCAGAACCTGGGCCTGGTGTGGTAATTCAAGATTCCCAATCCTGCTGTGGCTAAATTTTGCACCCTCAGGTCAAACATTAAAAGCCTTGACCCCGTTCACAAACCAATGTCTTTGATTCAGGGGTATTTCATGTCCTTCTGTAATCCAGACTGCTATAGTTAATAATAATAATGACAATGTTACCACTTATTGAACCTTTACGAGATAAACACACATACCCACATATAGGATGTGGCTAAAATCCAGGATATGACTTGTGTCTGTTATATGAAAAGCATGTAGCAATTTTTGAACTGTGGATCTATTTGCCCATCGATTCTTAAGGCTGATTTATGTTTGCAGACTCTTGCTTTCATTCTATCTGCCAGTATATAAAGCACTTGCTGAGTGTGGCCATCTGGTGTGGGAAATAAGATTTATCATTTGCATTTCCACAAATAAGCAGAAGTTTCATAACTATGAACTAAAACATAATTAATGATTTTGCTGATTATTCTTCCCTGGACTAGCCATTAACCGAAGTAGCCTCCTCTGCACTCATATATATATATGTCTATAATTGCATACACACTTGTGTTGACTCCCCAGCTATCAGCCATTTATCTTTGTATTTTTTCAAGCCTGTTTATTTACTCCCAAAACCAATTATGAAAAGAGCAAGTCATATACACACATCAAAGAGCTATATGAGAGCACTTAATAAATAATAATTGATAGAGATGAAAATAGCTTTAACAGATCCACTAAATACATTTCAAATATGTAATAATAATTCTATTAAAAATAAAATGAAAGATTATTAACAGTCATACTGGAATTCCCTATATATATAACATAGACTAGCATGTGAAAGTGACAGTTAATTCTCGGTTGTGTACATCAAAAGACCTATAACGTATGTATATCATATGTGTAAATATGAATATGCATATAAAACATATTTACTGCATATATGTATGTACATACATCAGCAAGAACGTTATATGTGAACATATATATCTAGGTTCATATATGCATAGATCATATTTTTCAATGATGGAGTTTTTGTTTTTTCAAATACTACCCTTCAAATAAAATGATAAGACTAGACTTTTCAGATTCCGCCAGGTACCACTCAACTCCAAGATGTCTGAAAGATAATCTGGCCTGTCCCAGCACTAAAAATGAGATTAAGGAAATAGGCAGAACTGACTCCTTCTGAAAACCTTCTGCTTCACAGTATCCCTGGGGCGAAACAAAAATCAGTCTTGCTTAACCCTTCAATGTGTGTGTAGTCTTTCTCTGTTTCAGAAGTGTCACGGACACACCAGTCCAAACAAACGTGCCACAGAGCTCATGACATCTAAAGCATCTAGAGGAACTAAAACCATAGGGAAACACGCTGCTGCCAGGCTGGAAGCCCGGGGACGTTGCCATTAAAAGCTTAACGTTCCCCAAAAGCCAAAAAGGCTTAGGAAGAACACTGAGCTAAGACTCAGGACACCTGGATTCCAGTGCCTGGTCAATAATTACTAATCAGGTGCTTTAGGCAGGATGCATGATCTTCCTGAACCTTAATTCCTCTTGAAAAGCATGAACCTGAGGGCAGCTACAGTGCCTTGTATTAATATGGTTCTGCAGCCATTCAGAAAATTAAGGAATTGACTGAATATTTAAATTACTTATTCTGTGTTTCCCTAGCTTTACATATAATAAAGCTCATTTTATATCATAACTCTGCTGTTCAAACTCTGTATATATTCATATTTTTATATTAAGTCATATTTTTTAATATTCTCAACAAGACAATCTAGTAAAGAAATCTTCTGCTGAAAATCATTTTTTCAAAGATAATGGATGGCTTCCTGTCATTTTGTTTGTCCTGGCTACTTTTTTAAACCCAGATTTCGTTTGCCGAATGTTTGACAGGAGACTCACCAGCACCCCTTCCCGGTGTAGCCTCACCTCATGCAGTGCGGACAGGCAAAGACCCCGGTGCCAGCCACTGGGGTGAACCCCAGCCCCTCTGCTTACTGGCTGTGTGCACTCATGAGATGGCCTTAACCTTGCTGTGCCCCCTCATCTCACTGGGAAACAGGGTTCATTCAGTACCTGCCTCATAGCATGGTCATGTGCTTATATCTGTAAAGCATTTGTAACAGTACTTGTAATAAGAGCTGTGTAATTGTTTCTTGGTTGTGTTTGGTTGTGGCTGTTCCTCTTATTATGTACATGAAACAGAGATTAGGAGAACATTCTTGAATTCAGCATTTTCCCTGTTATTTTACCTCTGACCTGGTATGTTGGTAGACAATTTTGGAAACATTCACATACCAGAGGATGATTCCACTGCACTTGAAAACCATCATAGGTTTAAACACACACACACACTCACACATACATTGATTTCCATATGTGCCCTCAAAACTTCAAAGTGACCCATAATTATTGTCACACTAAATTCTTTCTTGAATGTCATTGTCTAAGCATACAGTCTTAAATCCAAAAGTCTTTGTTGTGAAAAATACTAATATTTTCTTCTTGTAATGGATCTAAACAAACAGAACTATACAAAAGGAGACAACAGAACAAGCAAAGCGTAGGAAACAAGCTCTTCCCTCCTACGTCTTCTGCCTCAATTCTCCTCTTTCAGTTGGCACACAAATCTCTTCTCCACTTTCCTCTCCATTCGCACACCCACATCCCCGAAATCGTGCCCACGCTGGGAAAACCCAGGTAGCTGTGGGAAACCCACAGCTGGCCCCTCCAGGATGAACTCTGGCCAAACCCAAGTCTCAGTCCTGCTTCTGGTTGGGACCTGCCTCACTGGGTTGGCTGTTTTGTTTTTGTGGTTATTGTCGTCTTTGATTTTTATTTTTAAAGCATCAAATGAAGAGTTTGGACTAGATGATCCCCTGCTGCTTCTTGAGACACCGAATTGAGTTGACTTATTTTCTGCCTTGCAGCTAAGGTGCCACCCAGCCATAAATGTTACTTTGAAACAATTCTTCTCCCCATTAACAAATGAATAGCTACTGATTCCCCCCTGAGAAATGAGAGTCACAGACTGGCTCCATGTTTTATCAGTGGAGATGCTGTGATGAATCAGCTGGAGGAGCCTGCGTCTGGCTGCTGAAGGACCCTCACCAGTGCTTGGAATCTTAACTAGAGCCAGCATGGCTGTGCTGTGCAGAGCCGCCACAGGAGGAGGCTGAAGAGGAGGCTGCCACATCATGACACACCTCAGTGACAGCCAGCTTTAGGGCCTTCTTCGGCGAGAGCATTTTGTATTTGGAAGTGTTTCAACCAAAGATACCCCTTAAGATCCTTATAGCTCAAAGAGAAGGATTTCAAAAAGATCGTGAGCCCTTCCTGGGCTGTTCCTAAGTGCCCTGACATTGAGATGCTGGTACCTGGCCAGTCTTCCCTCTGCACTGTCAGCTGTAACACAGAGTGGGCTGGATGTAACTATTCTCTTTTCTCTCTCTCTCTTTTGCACTGCAGGACCTGGGTCAGTGAGAGGAATCAACGGATCCATCAGTCTGGCCGTACCACTGTGGCTGCTGGCAGCATCTCTGCTCTGCCTTCTCAGCAAATGTTAATAGAATAAAAATTTAAAAATAATTAAAAACACACACACACACAAAAATGCGTCACACAGGATACAGAGAGCGAGATGGGGGGAGACTGTTTATTTCACAACTTTGTGTGTTTGTAAATGAAGGGGGAAATAAGAAAACAAAGGAGAAAAAACAGCATTTAAAACGATTTCACAGTCCATCAATAAAAATTGGAGTATAATTCAGGGTGGGGAAAGTTCTCCCAGGGTATGTGTGTATCTAAGCAAATGTACACTGTATACAGACGCCATCGTGGTAAGGAGATCCCAGCGTTGTAAAAATAAGAAGTACCAGATGGATAAGAACCCCCTACACACACACTTACTCCTTCCTTCATCCTTTTTCATCCGTGGGGAAAGAAAAAATAAGGTCTTGCCTTTGGTGTTTGTATTTCCATCCTCATTTTATTGTTTTTTATTTGAGCTGACTCGTAGCCATTCAGACCATCTTTGGGATCCATGCTGGAGTCCTGCGTTGAGCCTTTAGCTGGCTCTCCTGCCTCCACTATCTCTCCAAGTTCTAGGACCATCTCCTTTCCCTCCAGGGTGTTCTATCTCCCGCACAGCTGCCCCGGATAGTCCCTTTTGGCCTCACGGCCCGCCGCTCCCCCTCGCTCCCGCCGCCCCGGGGCGCCAGCCACGCCGCAGATGCCAGAAAGTGTGCGCCTTACCTCTCCCCTCCGCGCCGGCCGTCCCTCGCTCTCAGCGCGGGCGTCTGTGCGTGTGAGCGTGTGCGTCTCTCTCTAAAGCATGCCGAGGGAATGGTCCACGTGTACATAGACCCATTGTGCTGTCGATACTGTCCTTCTTTGTGATCTCGAGATGCGGCTGTGCCACGGTGCCGGGGCACGCGGTGGGGCAGGAGGCAAGGAGCAGGGCCCCTCCCCCATCACGGCGCTCACGGGACGTCAGCGTGTGTTCAGACCGAGCTGTGCCCCGCCTCCGGGCAGGAGCTCATACTCCTCCTAGTCCGGTCATCAGAACCCAGTCCAGAGTCACTCAGATTATCACTGTAAATGAAAGTGCCTACTATTGACGGGGTGAGCAAACAGCAGAAAGGATCAGTGATGTGGATGATGTGACCTAGGATAGAAGGTTTCTGATTTCACTCTTGTTTCACGAGTCTGAGGGATTCACGTATTTCCTGGCTTTTTGCAGACTTGGTCCTGCTCAGCTGCAGGAATGAGTAGCATGTGTTGAGTAAATTCCCAGAAGCAGGAAGCTCTCCAAGCATTAACCTCTAAGGAAAGTGTGATGAGTTGCATGGAGATCACGTGGCTGTTTTGCCGTTTTGCCCCCTCCCTGATCTTCAGATAACACTGCATTTGCCCCACAGATTTCCCTGACTAGAGATTTTTTTCCCCCCGATTTCAGATAAAGTACAGTGAGAGTGAGCAAGGGAGAAACACAGGATGCCTGGGTCCCTACTCACGGTATAAATACTGTCAGAGCTCCAGCACAAAGCACTGACCGTAACAAAAAGGAATCCACTCTTTGTGCTCCTTTGCAGACCTCTGTCCTAGTGTTCTAGGCTAATACTTTATTTGGTTGCCCCCATTGTCTCCCTCTTGGTCCACCAGTGGTGTTACAGCACCACTGTTCATAGTGGTCCATCATTATCCAAGGCCAGGCCACTAGGAACGGCATTATATTCCACCTTTCCTGCTCATTCTAGTCTCCTGAAAAAGATACAGTGGGGGATACGGTGTTTTAAGTTTACATCACAAGAGTCATCTTGCCATTAACACTGAAATGTGAGTTCATTCTTAACCAGAAGAGCTGGGAAACTTGTAATAATTTAGGCAAAATTTGTATACATCCCATGAAGCTTGGCATCAGCATGACATCAGAAGGATTTTCTTAGGACACACCTTACAGAGAGTGTTGGCTCTCTGTGTGTAAATATCTTTGTCAGGAAACCAACCATTGCTTTCACTTAGACTATGGGAGGCATTGGAAATGGCTCAGTTCATGAAAGGACAGAGGATTGTTACTGAGATCATCATTGAATGTATTTCAGCAGAGCCAGCAGGACCTCACCAAGTCTTAGGGCCTGGACCTAGCTGTCACGTGATATACGACAGGAAACTTCGTAACTGCAACTCAGAAAAGGAAGGGAGAAGGAAGAAAGGGAGGAAAGAAGGAAGGGAGGAGGAAATAGAAAGAAAAGGAGGGAGAAAGAGAGAAAGGAAGGGAGGGAGGAGCCAGGAGGAAGAAAGGAAGGAAAATAATCTGAAATTTACCCTGATACATTTTATTAACTGAAGGCTCTTTGCAGTGAGCTCATCTTCAAAGGGAAAGGTCTTGTTGATGAGCAGTGCTTTTAAGCTCTTCTAGGGGATTCTGTCATTTGTTTTAAAAGCTTATCACCAGACTTCTCACAATTTTGCAATTTAGACATGAAACGAAAGGACACATTGGGCTTGGGAGTGGGTAAAAGTACTTGTGGCAGATCCTGGCATAAGACCAAAATTCTTATCCAAGATGGTAGCTACGAAAATGTAGAGAAGGTGAGCCACATTCCTATGCAGCATCAATTTATGGACAATCAGGGATTTCTCTAACAGTTTAGGCTTCTTAGTCCAGGAATAAAAGCTTATCATCCTTGGTGATACATATTCCCCATATTTTGAAGAGTCAGCCACAACCTTAAGTGGAAGCTTTAGAGGAGTGCATGCTAATTTAAAGATACATAAAAAGAGAAAAGTAACAGGAGTTAATTCAGTTTAGTGTCAGTTTCAGGAACAGATCCCCATGGCATGTCACAGATTTTAATCATACACCTAGATTTCTTATTGTCTCTAGCACAAGGACAAGGTCTTGGTTTTACCGAAGGAGATTCTCCATTGAAAGAAATGTCTTTGCCATGTCAGCACCATTTGTTCCCTGAGTTTTATTATAATGGTCCATATATTAAACATAATTAAACACTTATTGAATATTGTGGTGTTTGAATATATTGCTGGTAGGATCTGGGAATTTTGTCCTTTCTCCTGTTTCAGAGGAATTATTGAGCCCCAAGAACCTCATAGGTTTGAAAATGTCTTTAAGCCATGTGAAAAATGGAGGAGAACATTGTTTGGAGAAAGGTCAGGAGAAAGGTAGGAGCCAGAGGACTGACACCAAGAGACTGAACGTGGGACTTCTTGGAATTGAGTTCGTCATAGTGCTATAAATCTCTTCAAGAATTTTGTCCATTGATAATCAAAGCTTGAAACCCTGCAGTGAAAAGAACCAACAGGTTGGAAACAATATACTGAGAAGAGGGAAATGCATCAATGAATCTGAATGGCTAATATAGTTAATGTCCTTTGTGTGCAAAATGAAATGCCACCATTCACAAAACAAAACCCTTAGAACCGACTTGCAGTTAACTAAAGCAAAAATGACCTTGACCAAGGGCACTTCCTGAAGAATGAAAACTATCCTAGATTTTACAACTACGGACTTACATCCTCTGTGCAATTGTTCACCAGAAGGTTTTGCCTTTGTTGGAGGAACAGTCTTACTGGTTTTGAGACATAAAATCCCTCTGCCCTAAAAGAACTAAGGCTTAGGGAAAAGTCTTAGCATTTTCTATGGGGAAGAATTGTCCCATTGACTTTGCCTTCTCTTCCAAGTCAGACAGACGTCACCCTTGCCATGAGCATTTTTTTAAACTGCATCTTCAGACAATTGGGGCTATTCCTAGAGACCTTGCGAAAGTACTCGTGATTTTCATGTTCTTGGAGGACAGAAACAAAAATCTGTTTCTCCTCCAGAAATGGACTTACCTCCTTTGCACACAAAAACTAAACTCCTTAGCATGAAGTTGTTCCTGCGTTGTTACTACTGAGTTATCAGCTGCTTAACCGGTCCAGAGCCGCAGACCCCAGCCCCAGGTTGGTTGTGGTTTGATTGTTTCTATTGGCTTGTCTCCCAGAATTTCCCATTTTGTTTTCTGCCAGTCTTGAATTATTTGTGGAAAAATAATATATATGTGTATGTGTTTTTTTTAATCTTATCTTTGCAGATGCTATATTTACAATATTGTATGTATTATAAGACAAATCTACAATAATAATTTAAATTTGAAAGGAAGAAAAGTATCAAATTTGGTTTAAAAAAAAGAGCTATGTTTCATTTAGAAAGACGTGGGGCCCCATTTTTTCCACTTTGCTATGATCTGTTTAAAAGGAATTTGCTTATAGACTATGTCCCATGGGATTAACCATGGCCTTATTTTTCTCTTCAACTTCATAACCTTTTAGCCTGAATTTAGTCTTGGTTCTCGATAACTCTCATTTTTTAAAATAGAAACATAAGTGCAATGCTCTATCTGACCTACAAAAACAATTAATACTTTGAAGTCAAAGATTAACCATACCACGGAAATGGTGAGATAA